CTGCTTTGATTAAATAGTCTTTTGTTATTGTATCCAGAAAATACCATAGGATCTATGCAGAAATGTATTACTGAGTATTAAGTTGGTATTTTACATATGGAATTTGAACCTGACCAATTACAAAGTTTGTTTCTTTTCTAATGTGGTTCAAGACCTGAACATGTAACTTTGGAGTAGACAACACAATTTTAGATTGTAGGAGGTTTCCTATGAAGTTAAACTCTTGCTGCATAGAGAGCAGTAGTTATGCCGCTTTGCTGTGTAGGAATCAGACTTCCACAGAGAGGAGAAGCACCAACAAACCCACCTGGACTTACTTTTCTTTCTGTAGTGGGTTTAGAAAAAATGTGCACCCCCACCCCATGCTGGGGATTGAACCCAGGCCTTTACCATGTTGGGCAAATACTGTGCTACAGAGCTACATCCATAGCCCTGGAAAATCTGTATTTTACCACATAATCGTCACCACTGCATTAATGCAGATTCACTAATACTCCATGCATATCCTAATCTTGAACCAGTGACAGTTTAGTAATAAACGCGTTTTAAGTAATACTGGCACAGTATTTTTTTTTCTCTTTTAAAGCTTTAAATAATGGTCACGCTCAACTTTTTGCCAAAAAAGAAAAAGAAATAAAAGGCATAAAATCTGCAATGATTATGTGATGAAATGCATATATTTTTGCCCTTTCTAGTTGTGTGATGATGGGAGTAGAGTGTTCTGCCCACTCCAGAGTGACTTACCACCAAATATTTCTTTCTTTCTTTTTTTTTTTTTAATGGCGGTACTGGGGATTGAACTCAGGGCCTCACACAGCTAGGCAAGTGCTCTGCCACTGAGATATGTCCCAAGCCCTTTTTCATTTTTTTAAAAATTTTTAATTTTAAATGTTGTTTTATTAATACATTCGAGTTATTCATAATAGTGGGGTTCATTTTGACATATTCACACATGCATATAACATAATTTGCTCCATTTCAATCCCTAGTATTTTCCCCTAACCCTCCTCTCCTCCTTCCCCTTGATTTCCTTCCTCTACTCTGTTGGTCTTTCTTCCATTAATTTATTGTTTTTTTTTTAATTGGTGCATTATAGATATACATAAAAGTAGAGTGGAATTTTTGTGATGTATTTATAATGCACATAACATATTTGATCTTTTTTTTTTTTTTTTGCTGTTCCTCTCCTTTCCCATCCCTACTTTTGCCCCTTTATTCCCCTTTCTTTACTGTTCTGTTTTTATATCGCCCACTTCCCCCACCCCCCTCTTGTTTTTAAATTTCTCATTTCTCCCTAATTTCTGCATATGAGAGAAAACATTGAATCTTGATTTTTTGAGTCTGTCTTAGTTCACGTAGCATAATGTTCTCCAGTTCCATCCATTTGTAAGTAAATGACATAATTTCGTTCTTCTTTATGGCTGAGTAACATTCCATTGCGCATATACACTACATTTAAAATTGTTGATGGACCTTTATTTTATCTATTTATTTATATATGGTGCTCAGAATTGAACCCAGTCCCTCACACATGCTAGGCAAGTGGTCTACCACTGAGCCACAACCCCAGACCCCTATACATCACATTTTCTTGATCCATTTATCTGTTGTTAGGCACCTGGACTGGGTTCATTACTTGCTTAATTTGGATCATGGTGCTAAAGACAACACCCAGCCCTTTAAAAAAATTTTTTTTAAAAAACAGTTTCAATGAGTTGCCTATGCTGGCCTCTTAACTGGCCATCATCCTGTCTCGGATTACAGGCATGTCCAGCCACACCCAGCTTATCTATTTGTTCTTTAAATAGTTATTGAATTCCTGGTAAAGGGCAGCAGTAAGCAAAATTATGCCATTCCCCTTGAAAAGTTTATTTTCTGGTTAGGGGAAAGGGCAATAAACAAAAAAAGAGTAACAGTAATTGAGAATTTGTATGAACCAGTCATGTTGGTTAACTCTGTGTCCTCCTCAGAGCACTCTGTGCAGGTGAGTGCTGTTCTGCCCCTTTTGCAGCCTAGGGAGACACTACAGAGATGTGGACTGGCCTCTGCCCCACCCAGTGGGCTCTGTGCTTTCACATTCCAGGCTGCTTGACTCTCTATTAATAAACACTGCCTGATCTGCTAATTTCTAAATAATAAACACATATTATTGTTAATGAATGTGATGAAGAGCACACTCATTATCAATAATATGTGTTTATTGATAATAATAATAATAATATCAATAAAAGCCCCAAGGGAAGCCATTTGGAGGGCTCCTGGATGCCTGGGTGTAAGTGTTCGTTAGCATCATGACTTAAGTGGATTCCCTCATAATGGGGGGTGAAGGAAGGTCACATCATGAGCCACATAGCTATCCATCCAGAGGGAGGGTATTCCAAGTCAAGGGAACAGAAAAAGCAAAGGCCCCAAGGTTGATGTAGCTTTGTCAAAGGTGGAAGAGAAGCCAGGAAGCCAGGTGGGAACTGTCCCTGTCTCTAGGAGGGTGGGGAGGGGAGCAACCAGGAGCAGCATCCCTGGGGGCCTTGCAGGTCAGGGTAAGGCCTTTGATTTTACTGAAGAGAGGGGAAATGGTCCAAGAATTTTTGAGCAGAAAAAAACATGATAAAAAGGATCACTCTGAATGTAGGGCAGAGTCTAGGGCACGGTCCACAGACAACTGCCCGCTGGCCAGATTGCTGCCCGCTTCGGTGTAGCCAGCAAGCTAAGAGTGCTGTGTACATTTGTGAATGGTTGGGAAAAAATGAATAATAATATTTGGTGTCCCAGGAAAAGTATGTGAAACTCAAATTTTTGTGTCCATTTTCATTTTAGTGTTATTGGAATTGAGCCGCCCTTGTTACTTTGTGTATGTCCAAAGCTGCCTTTGAGCAGCCTTAGCTGAACTGAGTCCTTTTAACAGACCACATGGCCTGCCTCTGGCCCTTTTCAGAAAAAGTTACTGTTCCCTGTCTTGGGGGGATGGAGTGGAAACAGAGGAGACCAGAGTAGACATGGCAGAAGTGAATGGTGGTCTGAACAGGCAGTAAGAAGTGAACAGATGCAGGACCTGTTTCACAGCAAAAGCAGATGTACTTTGTTCACATGGGAAGATTCCGGGTGATGTGTGAGTGCGGCACTGAGTTACTGGAGAGTGCACTTGCCCTTTTGGGGGTTGGGAAGACTGTGGGAGTGACAGGTTGGGGAGGAGGGTGAGCAAGAGGCCAGAGTTGTATTTTGGATATGTTGGCTTTATGGTGCCAAGTGGAGGTGTTGGGTGTCAGTCACTTGTGAGTCCAACTCTGAGGAGAGGCTGAGGCTCAAAGTAAGTATTGGAGTGTTTTCACATATTGCAGGAAGGCTTCCAAGCTGTGGGAGGGTGGAAATCCTGTAGGGAGCACACTTGGAGGGCAAGTCCAAACCTGGAACCCTGGGGTGCCCAGCATTAAGGGTAAGGAAGCAGACAATGAGAGGGAGCATCCAGAGAGCGCACTTGAGCAGATTGGGGTGTCCTGGAAGCACAGTATGGTTCTCTGTGTCGCATGCTGCTCAAGGTCAAGCAAGATGCCAACTAAAGATTCACCATGAATTTGGCAGTGTGGAAGTCACTCGTGGCTCTGATAAGAGGTGCCTGAGTGACGTGGTGAGACAGGAACCTGAAACCAGCTGGGTTAATGAAAATGGGAGGACAGGCAGTAGAGCTGGTGTGTAGGAGACTGTCTCCTAAAGCCTGATTGCAGGCCAGGAAGGGGCAAGAGTGGGATTTAACCTGAGATTAGGATTTTGCTAGTTGAGGTCAGTGGAGGAAAGGGTGTGAGGGAACTGAGTAGGAGAGTCCATATGACAGTGGAGAGTCCATATGACAGTGGATTGTGTAATTGATGCCAGGCAAGGAGCAGGATGCAGGGAGGAGATGAGGGACAGCAGGAGGTTGTGGGGGTCAGCAGATTCAAGGAGTTGTTGGATTTGGGGTGGTCAAGAGTCGTGTGCTTGAAATTGTCATCGTGGAGGGTGCAGTTGTGGTTACATCTAGATCTAAGGCAGTATTGTTCAAAAGCAATGTCAGGGGAGCCATGTTTAACTTTCCATGTTCCAATAGCCGTATTTTTAAAAAAGTAAGGAGAAAGAAACACGATAAATTTTAATATTTCATTATATTTAACTGGTTACATCTCAAATATGTGAACATGTGAACTGTGTACAAATTATTGCAATGTATCAATTTTTTTGTAAGTCTTTGCAATTGGTGTGTATTTTATATTTCTAGCACACCTTACTTTAGACTGGGCACATTTCAGGTGCTCAGAGGTCACAAGTGGCTCATGGCTGCCATATTGCAGAGCATAGGTCTTGGGAATCACTGTGGAGGAAGTACAGTCCAAGGTTATTGGAGGGTGGGTTTAAGGAACAGAGAAGCCAAGGTTCATGAAGGATTATGTGGATCTAAGCCACTTGGGATTCCTTACAGAGTGGGGCCGCAGGGGTTAGGAGGCTGAGTGCTTTAATCTGCCACCCATCAAGTGAGTCTCAGCATCTGTGGGACTATGAGGGACTGCTCTTGCCTCATCTTAAGTCCAGAAATATGGGTATGGGGCATGCTTTCAGACTCACAATAAAATATCAGAAACATGGGCTATAATATTGAGAGGATCTTTTCAAAATAGCAGCTTCCAGTCAGGGTTCACTCTCATTCAGAAGGCATTTCTTTGAGCCACTAATGAAGATGTTACCCATGTGAAGAACTCATTCCAGCCCATTTTTTTTTTCCTCAAGAAAAAAATATCCGTTAGATTTTTGTCTTTTATTTTGACATAAATCTTTAGATGCTGATCTTTATTTTGGCATAATCCTCAAATCCCTCAAATTCTGTTTGTAATACTTAGCTCAACAATCTTAAACACGCTTGAATCCCTGCAGAAGCCGACATTTAGGAGTTTCAAGGCAGTCCACATGATACGCGGACAGCAGCATGCAGCCTGGCTACCCTCTCTGCTCCTTTTGATAGGGTACATGTGGTAATATATTTTATATATACATGCATATCTATTTGTGTGTGTGTGTGTGTGTGTGTGTGTATAAATATTGGCTTTGATCCACAGTGAGTCTTTAAAGATCAATAAAAATGGATGATGTCAGGAAGCTGTTTTTGGCCTTATAGGCCAGGAAAAAGGAAAATGTTTTGAAAGGGTAGACAGGAACACTTCCACAGCTCAGTTGCTATCACTACTTTTCATATTTAAAGTTAACACAAGCTGCTCGTCTGAATCCCAATGGAAAAGGTGAATGGATATTCCAGTTCTGTACCTTTATCAAATTCAGATGTACCTTAGATTCCTTTCAGTTTGTTTCCTGTAGTATTAGGATTAACAGCAGCAACAACAAAAATCCTCCCAGCTCAGATATTTAGGAAGAAGAACCCATTTTGAATCTGTGTTTATGTGCCCCCTGTTCTCAGATGCTATGTGTGTTGAAGGAGCAGTTGTTCATTTTGTAGGTGCCAGTGTCAGGGAATGAGGGATCCAAGTGGTCCCAAGCACCTAGGCTTTGGTAATCTCAGAGCAGGGTGAGAGTCTGCTGGGTCAGAACTGTCTTCCCTCTGGGTGTGGTGCCTCCTCTCTGCACTGTAGTGTTCCCTGAGAGCAAGCCCAGGAAACGCCACTTAGTAACGAGGAAAGCTTTCTCCTTATGTGAGTTTTCTAATTAAAATGTTTTCCATCTGATGGGGAAGTGTGTGAATATCAAGAACTGGAAATTAAGCAAGAAATTAAAAGAACATTAATGGTTTCTTTGCAATTTGTTTTGAGGTTTTCCTCACTAAGTGGTATTTTGCTTACAAAGTCACCCTTTCACACATAAATCTTTATGACAAATGGACTGGAATATATCCCAGCAAAAGAAGAGCTATGGTGTCATGTGTAAATTATATCACACATTGTGAAAGAGAACCCAAAGCATTCACTTTTTAAAAAAGCATTGTTAGTGCAGTTACTTAATTGGTGTATACAAAATTATAGTTTATTTGAAAGTGAAGGTTGGTTTGTCTAGAGGACTGGAAGAATAAGTGTTCTGACATTTGTTCATTGTTTGAATTTACACTCCAGACACCAGAATGCTCAATAAATCCAAAGTGTGATTTACTGACTCTTTAAAAAGTTCACTGCTGAAACTTTATCCATCGCAACCAGTGTCCCTTCACCCCGAGGTATGTTTGATCTGCAGTAGGCAGGCACCTGCCCTTCCTGGTCCTTGGGCCTCAGGGAGTGCATCGAATGCCACACTGGCAGTTTTGTTTGTTTTGTTATCTGGATTTGTGTCTACTAGTAAAGTCTTCATTAAGCTGCAGCTTCTACCTCTGGGTGGAGAAGTAGGTGGAAACAGGGAACTGTCAAACTCTGTAGCCCTTCCCGGCCTACCTCAAAGTGCCCCCACCCACAGCCTCTCACCTGCCTCTTCTCTCTCCTAGACCTCAGGGTACTGCATGTTCTGTCTGCTGTGCTTTCAGTTTCCTTCTCTGGCCCAGCCCTTCCTCCCTACTTCCGTTTATTCTGGTGGACAGCCTTTAGGGGCCAGCCCAGATGCCACTTCTTCATGCACCCTTTCTTGGGCTCCATTCTGCATAGTCCATCCTTTGGTTCATTCTTCTCCTTCCCATATCCCCTGTGAGGACTGTCGCCATGAAAATGTCATGATCTCTTTATTGGTGTCTTTAATCTACTAAATCAGGAGCTCTTTGGGAGCAGGTGCTGGGCCTCCCTTAGATTTCTGTTTCCCTAGAACCCAGCCCAGCACCTGCACATGGTTGTGAGTGAATGAATTCGGGTGGATGGGTGGGGGAGTGATGGTGGGGTAATGTACCTTCAAGTCAAAAAGGTAAACTTGATTCCTGTTTTGGAGAAAGAGAAGAATAAATACTGTTTTTGTTTATACAGGTCTTAAAATTTTGGTAGCAGAGAGCAAATGTGCAGAGAGCAATGGAAAACAAGTCAGAAGCTGCTGTCTGATTCCAGAGAAGGTCACATTTTATGCAAAAAGAAAAAAAGTAATTTACATTTGATCACCTTGAGATCTTCAATTTGTCATTGTGATATCTTAAGTAACTAATGATTAAGTGAAATAAATCTTGGGAAAATAGATCACAAATGGAATGAGGACTTTGCATTGTAAGAAACCCACAACTCTTTTCTTTTCACAACATGACCTTTTTAAAAAGTACCTTATTGCAGGCTTGTGAAGGTGGCTGGCCTCTGAGCACTGGGCACATGCCTGAAAGTGATAGGCCTTTTTTATTTACCTTGATCCGCTGGAATTAAACAGTCATGCTTATATTCAGTTAGTTTGAGGTTTGGTTGGAATTCAGTTCCAAATTGGCGAAAGAAATGAGCATCCAGCCCCTCTTCCTCATATTGTCCAACTTGCCTTATGAGACTCATATGCACAGTATTCCCTGTTTAAACTGAAGTCACTCACTTGACTCTGTCCCTGCAGTAGTCCCTAAGGAAGGTAAACGAACAGATATCTTGAGACTTCCTTCTGCATCAGTAGTTTTGATAGTTTCAAGGCCACTGTGGAATTCACCTGTAGTCTGTTAGGACCTTACCTTACTTAGGAACATTAGTCCTTTTACTCACACACCCTCCAGTATCCCTTTGGAATGCAGTGTTTTTCTAACCCATGAAACTGGTCTAGAAAGTACAGTAGCAAGTGCTGGGAATTGAAGTCCACCTTCCTAGTGCTGTGCTTCACAAATAGTCTCTAGCTGGGGGCCTCTCAGAGCATGGTGTTCTGTTATATCAATATGTACTTAGACATGCTAATCTGAATTAGAGAGCCGATATACATAATGACTCCCCTGGGATGCTATATTAGAAAAAAAACAAAACAAAAACTGAAGTAGTTTGCTGAATATGCATAGGAAGCTAAAAAATAAAATCCTTCTAAAATGAGCGTTAATTGAATCTGGACCTTGATCATCTTTGAACCTCTAATTTTTAATTTGATCCTTTAAAAAAGTTTTATAGGTTCTTGAAGACAAAATCTACAACTCAATAAAAGTTATGCTGTAGTGATTGCCTAAAGACTGTACAAAGCCCAATTTTGAGGTATTGTTGCTCCATGTATACACAGCATGTGTGGGGTAGATGTATATATATGTACATGTTCATGCATACACATACCAACTATATGTGCTTAATCTATGCTGTAGTTTGCCTTTATTCAGATTTCTCCTCTCTCTGCCTCTAGAAATGGGGCAAATTTTCTTCAGTTAAAAACAGAAATAGAAGCGCCGGCCTTGACCCATTTTATACCTGTTTATTTCAGGCTCTCACCACACACTTGTTCATGGGCACAGCAAGAAGAGGGATCCACAGAGCTGGAGCCGTGAGGTCTGACACATTGGGGTGAAGCTGGCAAAATTCGTAGGGAGAGCTTTACCATCCTGCCAGCTCCATATCTGGCCTCAAGACAGTTCTATTAGTGAATTAATTGTACTCAAAACCTCAAATTCATTTGAACCGAATGTTACTAAAAATGAAATAGATCAAAGTGACCTCCTCTTGCCTCATCCAGAGTGATTGTGAAGGAGCCCATGGCCTCATTTATCTCTGGAGAGCAGGTCTCCACCTGTGTGCCTCCTGGTCCTGGGGTTTTTCGTGCCCGTCCCTGATGCTACTCTGCCCGCAGTCCCTCAGCAGGCTTCCATTTCTTACTGGCACTTCACTCCCCTGGAATCTCTTTATGTTGATTACTGTTTGTCTCCCACAAGAATGGAAGCTCCATGAGAGCAGGGTCTCTGTCTTGTTCCATGTCCCAGTGCATAGGACAGTGCCTGGCACAGTAGAGTTTCAATAAACGCTATTGAATGAACTAGTGGGTCACTAGCCTTGTGTCCTTTCTCAATCTTTCCCTTTTACTTGCTGTTTATATATGACATGCCTTTTAAAGTCATAAAGCAGTGAAAAATTGGGATCAAGTGTAAAAATTTTGTTGTGATTGAAATAACTGTTGACCTAGTTCAGGGTAGAACAGAAAACCCAGAGTGTATGAGGACTTAAGAATTACAACCTGTGTGTTATGGTATCCATGCCTCCTGGATCGAAGGTATAGATGGGTGGAAATAGGAGTCAGCTCTCTGGAATATTGTAACATTGACACCAGGGAGAGTTGGAAGAAACAATTGAGGAAGGGGATCAGGGAAGCAGAAAATAGACAAATACTGAATGATTTTCTTAATATTTAATAATTAATAAATGTTGGCATCAAATAAACAAGGTAAATCAAAATATTTTCTAGATCAAGTGGGCATTAACAAAGATACACAGGGAACTTGAGGTGATGCCAGTCATGTGCCACATGACGATGTCTGGTTGTCAGTGGACTGTGTGCACGACGGTGGTCCCATAAGATCACATGGCATCGCAACGTCATTGTCATCTCAGTTCATGTAAGTACAAGTGGTGATGTCCCCGTCCCATGATGACAGGAATCACCAGTATTGCATTTCTCAGAATTTGTGTTGGAGAGTGTGGCTGTGTTAAGATGATACTAACATAAGTGCTTTTGTTCCAGATGGCCTTCACGGATGCCCTAGTCTCGTCCTCTTTACTCCTTGTGTATTGACATAGGCCAGAAACTGATACTGTTCTTGTAAATTTTTGAGAAGTTTTCTTTATTATTATTTTTTAAAACAAAGAACAAAAACCAAGGAGACAGTATTCTGTGATGTAGGCTGTTATCTCAAGGTGAGTTTATTTGTAGCACTAACTTGTGATAAATTGTTTAAAGAACTAACACTTCTTTTCAGATTGAGCATATTTTATCTGTCAGATTTTGTTTATTTCAGCGTAAACTTGGGTTGTTATACACTGTGAAGGAATCAACTAAAGCAAGGACCAAGGTTCAATTTATGCTGGAATTTTTTTTCATGCAGAGAATTGACCAATATTTCTGATCAAATCAGTAAATATGATTCAGTTTCATTAAATAAAGTGTGAAAAGCAAAGGCCAGATTTTTATGTACCACAAAGCAAAAGAGAAAAGAAAACCCTCTTGGAGCGTGACGCATTTTCATTAGACTTAAATGTTGAGTTATTTTGATTATCTAATCCTACCCTCCCATGGAAGTGTAAGGAGTGTGAATTCTGGGGTGAAGATGTAATCACAAGAAATGGTTAATGAGGCAGAACACACAAGTCTGTATTTATAGTTTTGTGGACAAATTAATCATCAGCAGAGGATACAAATGCAAAAAAGAATTCTCGATTGCATTCAAGAAGTGCAAGGCTAAACTTTGGAAACTAAGACAGAATTTTAAACCTTCTCAGGGATGCGTTATTAAGTAAGTTAATGTGCTTGGAACAGGAACCTAGTATGTAATGATCACTCATAAAATTTGCTGTTTATTCTTAGATGGATTCTAGTACAGGAGATGAAAGCATGTTTTAACTGTGCTTAATAAACTGTACTGTGGTTGGGTATGGGCGAGTGTCCACTTCTAATCGAAGCAAGTGCAGCTTCTTGAAGCAAAGCTCATAGCAAAAACTCTTCCTCGTATTTTTTTTGTGTGTGTGTGTGCGCGTGCACACACATGTAAAACATGCTGGGGCAGGCTGTGCAGATGATGCTTCTGTGGCAAGAGCTACAGCAGCTGCTGCTCCACTTTCGGTTTCATTCTCAAGAGTTGTTCTGATTAATCTGAAGTTTTGATTAACTTATGTTTTTCATATATCCTGCAGCTGCATGTGTGTACCTTTAAGTTTTGTGGAATTAAATAAAAATTTATGACCAGTGACTCTTTAAAGCCACTGTCAAAGTTGCATACAAAACACTTCATAGGTTTGAAGTCTAGTTTTCATTGAGCATTCCTGCCGTTTAAAGTATGTGACATAAGCTTTTAAAGAGCGATTCCATGAGTTAGTGCCCTCTGGTGGCACACAGAGGACATCAAGCACAGAGGGACTGTGACCCAAGAACCTTCAGATAGCTCTTCTAAATTAGACTGCTTTTTTGTTAGTTCTTTCTGGTAGTTTTTCCTTTGGGTGGAGTTTGAAAGTCCCCTGGTAGTTGGTTGATGCCTGCCTGTCATCATATCTTTTTTTTGTGTTTGGTGCTTATCAGTTTCTTACTCTGCTAAACTCTGGTCCTGGGGTTGACTTGCTAGCAACCCAGCGATGTTAGCAGTGTAGGTTGTGAATAGAAATCCAGGTGAGGGGGTTTTTGGGTGGGTTTGCTGTAAAAAGGTACATGCCAGCATTCAGATTTCCCAGAACCAGAGCATCCATTTTTAGATGCATCTCTTATCTCCCTTTTAAAAGGGAGACCATGTCACTTCCTGGATTAAGGAGGGAGCCTTTCTGATGGCCTTGGGGTGACTAGGACACAGCTTGAGATGAGCCCATTGGAGGACTGGTCTTTGGTGGTACTCACTTACCATTTTGGCCTTCCTGGGGCCCATCTTTCCCACAGAGGCCTTTGACAGAGGTCATGCAGGCCAGGAACTGAATCCTCCCTCCACCACTGAGAAGTTGTGGGGCCCTGGGGCAGTTACTGTGTCTTGTGTGGGTCTCTTTAGCTGTGAAATAGGGGTGACTTTTAACCTGTGTTTCAAATTGATGTGAAGAGACACCCGTGAGGGTGAGGTGAGATGCTGTGTGTTTAAGAACTCTTTGTGGACCTTTGCCAACTGCTGCTGAGGATGTTTCCTTCTCTCTCTCTCTTTCTTTTTTTAAAATATATTTTTAGTTGTAGATAGACACAATATCTTTTTTTTAAATTTTTTTAATGGTGCTGCTGATCAAACCCAGTGCCTCACGCATGGGAGACGAGCGCTCTACCACTGAGCTACAACCCAGCCCCATTTTCCTTCTCTTCTTTAAAGGCAAGTACTCTGCCCTTTTTAAACTTAAAAGGTCATTTAAAACAAACAAACTTTATTTTGGATCAACTTCATTTTACAGCAAAGTTACAGAGACGGTATGGAGTGTTCATACATCCTTGCCTCATTTCTCCTGCAGGCCCCACTTTTATCCTGTTGAGTTTTCCTGATAGTTTTCTCTGAGAGCTCTGTGAAGTTGGGTCACATCTGGTTCAAGTGCCAGCTAACACCTTGCTGAGACAGAGCTGTTTGCTTTGAATCCTTGGTGTCCACTGTTGATGTGGTGTTTGCTTCCTTTTACCTTGCTTGTGTCTGTGACCATTTGACATTAGGACAGTCTTGTGTGATTTTCCAGGATCTTAATGCCTAAGTATTTCCCCTTCTGTGCAGTTAATGAGCTGTGCAACCTAAGGAAAGATGGGTAATCAGTTTCCATCAGTATTTCAGCTGGGCATTTTTGCAGTCTCATAGCTACTTGTCACATAGCTGCGAGGTGAAGGCAAAAGCACATGGATCTTCAAAAATGAATAAACAACAGAATTATCTGTAGAAATGGGAAACTTACCTCCCAATTAAAAGTCCATTAGCTAGTTTTAATGCATAAATAATCTGTAATTAGCATTATTAAATGAAAAAAAATACTCAATATTTTACATGTTTTAGCAACCTAAGAAAATGTCACAACTTCTTGACAAGGTTTCTTGACAGTCCTGGGAGGATAGACAGGGAGAGCTCAGTCCCTTTTCATGAATGCAGGTGAAGTAAGGGAGGCCAAGGGGTGACCTGATCGGGGCCACACAGCAAGTTAAGTGAGTCATCCTCCAAACACAGCCTGAGCATGTTCAGCCCATGCCTCCCCACAGCACTCCTGCAACTGTGGAGTGTTGGGAAGGCTGTTGGTCCACACTTAGTTCACTAAGCTCAATTTTAGTGATATTACTTAAGCTGTTAATTAATATGTATAGTAATGCTTTAATACCTCATAGACAATTTCCATTTTTTTTTTTTTTTTAGGACTTTACTGAAATCAGCATTGTTGGTCCTGAGTTAACAGAATCTAATTGTTCTGTGCAGAACTTCAGAGGAAACCTGTGTTTTATATTCACTTTTTTTTTTTGTGTGTGTGTGTGTGTGTGTGGCTGTGACCAAAAGACCTGATAAGAACAACATAGAGAAGAGAAAGTTTATTTAGGGCTCATGGTTTTGGAGGTCTCAGTCCATAGATGGCCAACTCTGTAGCTCTGGGTTCCAGGTGAGGTGACCATCATGGCGGAAGGGTGTGTCAGAAGAAAGTAGCTCAGGATATGGCAACAAGGAAATAGTTCCACTATTTAAACCCCAAAGGCACACCCCATCTGCCTATGTATAGTCCCTGTCCGTTTGATCCATGTCAGTGGATTAATGAACTGCTTAGATTAAGGCTCTCATAACCCAATTGTTTTACCTCTGAACTTTCTTGCATTGTCTCACATGTGCTTTTTTTTTTTTTTCGTACCAGGGATTATTGAACCCTGGGGTGCTTAATCACTGAGCCACATCCCCAGCCCTTTTTATGTTTTATTAAGATAGGGTCCCACTAAGTTGCTTAGTGTCTCCCTAAGTTGCTGAGGCTGGCTTTGAACTTGTCATCCTTCTGTCTTAGCCTTCTGAGCTTCTGGGATTATGTGCCACCATACCCCGCTCACACATGAACTTTTGGGGGATACCTCGTATCTAAACCATAACACCGTGGGTTGGCTACTGTTGGTTCGTCTCAAGCTCTGCACTGTGGCAACATTGCCACAAGCTCTGGGATGACTGTAGTCTCTTCCGGGAGGCTGCATCTTGTCTGTGACCTTTGGGTTACATATTGTGCTGGAGATAAACCTTGACAGCACAGACGTGTGTGACATATTTTTTTACAAGAGCTACTGAAATGTTTGAATGAGAAGATGATGTCATTTGAAAAAGTGATAAATGGGCCAAATTCTTGAGAAGCTAGCAGAACATCTTA